AAAAAAAAAAAAAGAATTCAAGATACTCTCATTGAGATCATATTTTATCTTACTGCAGTGAACAACTCCTAACAGTATAAAAAATCCTATGTTGGATTCTGTCACACTTTGGCAACTGGCCAAAGAACCTACAAAAATTTGGGAGTACACACCCCTTTCCATACAAAGTACCCTCTAGGAACACTAGGATAGCGCAGTTCACTTGAGGCCTCACCTGTAGAAAACGGCTGTCACAGAACAGCCAGGACACCCACTAGTGTGTGGAGATCCCTGAGCAAGTATGACTTAAATCTGGACTATATTTAAATTCAAAAGCCATTTTCACTGTATTTATAGGAAGTTGCAGCTGGCTTGCCAGAATTCGTACACCTCTCATTATAGGTGCATGGTTAAGAATAGCTATGGCTTTGGATTCTCACAAGTGACACTCTGTAAAACTTGAATAATTAGATCTCCTGGTTCCAGATTTGCAAACCCTAAACATCACCTATAGCTTTTCATTGAATTGAAGAGCCACATGGACACAAACTATCCGTGAGAAAAGGTTCCCCTAAAGATATGATGTAACACTGCAATTACAAAGTAGCTATACCAGAACAGGCAAAAAAAAAAAAAAAAAAAAGATTAGTACTTGAAAAATTTGTTCAGTATGGAACCTAGCGGTTTATTTATTACAAAAATCATTAACAGAGCTGTGAGTTTACTATATTCATTAAAAATAAATAATTTATACAAAACAGATTCTGGCATAGATACGTGAAATCAAAAATCAATGGATTGAACCTACATGTTTCATCTCCTCACAAACTTGCACACATTACTATTCTGCTCAAAAGACAACTGCAGCAAAGAAAAAGACAACTGCTGCTTTACAAACAAGGCTAAAAGCATCCCATCAAAGAGGCCAAAATAAACATGCATATATGTATAAAGTGTTACTGGTCAACACAAACGCTACTTCTTCTAGAAAAAGTTTAACTGCATAAGTTAAAGAAAAACAAAAAACAATGTGCAACATTTTAAGCCATTAAAGCACCAAAAAAAAAAAAAAAAACCACACGCACACCAAAATCACTGTTTTAAGACGATTAACACGCAAACATGAAATAGTGATCAAAAATCAGGAAGTAATTACCTGGACTGATATAACGTCCATTGTTGGGAGAATTTTTCCTCAGTTTAAATGTCTTATTCTCTAAAGAAATCTTAAAGTGCTAACTTTATATAAAGAAGGCAAATTCAAGTAATTTGCTATTAAGCCAATTTTTATAGAGCTAAAACAAGGAACTAACGATAAACTAAAATGAAACAAGACAGACATGGAGAGAAAAACTGACGAGTTGCAGCTGGACAGAGGAATAGATGCTATTATGCCATCCAGGCCTTTTCATTTCCAGTGAACACATTAGCTAAGATTCAGGTCTGCTGGTTTTAGTACACTAACTCCCTTGGATTTTTCGGTTTACCAAAATTTGTACATAAACAAGCACACAAGTCCTAAGGAAAAGAATGCCACTTAAAAGAATAAACACTGGACACTAATTAAAGCAATCTTAAAAAGTTGTCTACCACTATAAATGAATATAAAAAATGTAATAGCTCTCACAAACTAAAAACTGTAACCTTTCCAAAGTTTTACTCCTGCCCTTTAGCTGCTTTTTCAAGGAAGTACACATTAACTAAATGGCGATTGAGGTGTTTGCTGTAACCTTTTTCCTTTCTAAAAGAATGATCACAGAAGATACAAACAAAATCTCCCTCAGCCACTTTGACTGGCAGGGCTTCCTTTGCATTTTTTGCACTAGTTTCTTGGGGAACTGGCCGAGCCCCATGCAATCCAGAATCATCACTACCCTCTGACATGTTGTCACTTAGGTCACTTCCATCGTGACTGTGGATGCCTTCATCTTCATCAGTTTCCTGAGACTCATTTACTGTCACACTAACAGGAGCAGGAGCCAAAGGCAGAGTGGTTTTGGACACTGCGTCTTGTTCTTCCACTGATGGAGAGAAAAGTGATGGCGAAGCTGGTTCTTCAAGTGCAGCACCTTTAGCTGGGAGATTCTCTGTTGCGCTCTCATCAGTGACCATTTCCATTTCGCAAGCCTCATCTGAGTGAGTCTGATATTCCCCATCTGAAGTTTCACACTTTGGCAAGCTCAACTTCAAGACCGAAGCTGAAACACTGGAAGATTCCTCAGCAGCGGCTCCATCAGCTATACTCTCATCTGCCTCTTCTGCTCCCTCTTTCTGCAAGGGGCCTTCTGTATTTCCTGGACCATCAGAGAGTGAATTTTGGTCTCCTGACTCCTCCTCCTTCTCCCTTGGCAGTGGTGATGGTGCTGAGAGGGCCTGTGCCTCTGTACTCTCCTTTAAAACCTGACTGTCTTTAACAGGCACTAAGCCAACTTCAATAAGGACTCGCTCCTTGTGGGCCCCTTCACTCTGCATGTTGGGCTTTTCCTTTTTACCGTCTTTTCGGGGAGATTTCTTGGAGATTGGCTCCATGTGAAGGGGCGGCTGTACTGGAGGTGGCAGCTCCACGTACCCAGGTTCTGTATGAGCAGGTTCAGTGGGAGGTGGTGGCTCCTGCACAACCTCCATGGGGGCTGGCTCCACAGGTGGACAATCCGCCTCAACACCCTCCATGGGAGGGGGGGCGCCTCCCACACAGGTGGTGGCTCAGCCTGTGCCTGCACAGGCACCCCTTGCACTGCCTTCCTGGGAGGTGCAGGCCCCTCCTCAGCACCCTGGCTGGTGACCGCCCGCGCAGGATCCAGAGGCAGCCCAATCACCGCAGGCCCCTTGGCAGCAGCCTCCTTCTGAGGAGGCTCCTTCTGAGCAGGCTTGCTGCTTTTCTTACTTGATTTACTTTTCAGAGCTTTCTTCTTTGTACTCTTCTTCACACAGGTATTTTGCTTTTTATTTTCCTCTACTTTGTTGTCACCCTTTGGCACCTCCTGACCTTTTTTGGATTTGCTTCCTACTTTCTTCTTCCTTTTTGTTATAGGTTCCTCCTCATTCACAGGATTACGCGAAGATTGGGCTTCAGCTTCCAGCTCCCTTTTGCTTTTCTTGGTTTTACAGGGTTTTTCCGAATTATTTCCTGTGTGCACATCCATCTCTTTTGTCTCTGTGGCGGATTTGCGAGTTCTGGTAGTTACCTGGATCACTGAGACATTGCTACAAGGCTTTTTTTCTTTTGAAACATCTTTTTTCTCCACTTTTACAGATTTCTCATTTTTCTTCCCAGTCACATCCCCCTTTGTTTTCGTCTGTTCTGTTTCTGTTTTTTCATTAGTAATACTGTTATCAGGCAAGTCAACCTCTCGTTTTTTGGTTTTCTTTAGTTTCACTTTTGAGACATCCATTGTTTTATTAGGACAAGTAGGGTGCTTGGATTTGAAATGATACTGGAGATTACACTTTTTAGAAGCTGCATAGTCACATACAGGGCAATTGAACTGCCGAGGGTTAACATGGAGCTCCACATATTTCTTGAAATTGCTTCTATCTGCTGTTTTGTAGTCACAGTGAGGGCAATTAAGAGGTTTAGGACCATTGTGAACCTGTCTTGCATGGCGAGTTACTTCATGTTGATTAGAGGCCGCATAACTGCACTGATCACATTTAAATAGTTTCCCACCTGAATGAGTGCGCATATGTCTAGTTGAATGAGTCTTCTGAGAACTTGAATAAGGACAAAGTTCACATTTATATGGGCATTCTCCTGTGTGAGTGCGGACATGCTGGACATAATTATTTTTTCTGTCTGAAAAATAGTTGCCTTTGCCACAAGTGTACACTTTCCTAGGGAAGTGGTTCCTCAGGTGTTTCCTCCAGTGGTACTCGCTGACGGTTGTGTACGTGCAAATGATGCACTTGTACACTCGCTCATTATCCCCAGCTCTGGTGTGGTGCTTCAGGTGAGCGGTGTAATGATCATACCGATTGGTGTTATAGCCACAGCGGTCACAGCGGATGGGGCCCTTTGAGAAATCTCCCTCCTCGGCAGCGGAAGCACCAGACTCCCTGGCTTTGGCTTGCTTCTCTGCACTTTCTTCCACAAAAAACTTCTTGGCAGTATGAACTCGGATGTGATGCACAAACTGCTCCTCAGATTCTGCTTCGTACTGGCATGGCTTACAGCGAAATGGTTTGGTTTTCAAGTTCTTGCATTTGTCCTCTGTTCCAGGTGTTTCAGGAGGAAGATCTTTATTTAAGCTGTAAATCTCGGGAGCAGCTGATGCCTCAAATACAGGTTGTGGTTCTACAACACTGAGCTCCAGATTCCTCAGTTCCACATTCTCCAGTCCATTATCAGGTTCACCCTTTACTTCAGAAGACTCCTCCAGTCCTTCTCCATCACTATCTGAGAAGTTGTTATCCCCAACAGGCATCAATTCTGCCATCTGCCTTTCTTCACCAACCAGGTAATCACAGCAGCTGCCATTTACTTCCCCAGTTAGGGCCACATTGGCCAACATGATGAGCTGAGGCGCAGTCAGTTCAGCTTTGGAGAGGTCATGCAGCTCATACATGTCTTTAGGCAGAGCCATGCCCATGTTGCTGCTGCTGGTAAACAGCCCAGCTCCTCCAGACGCCTGCCCCATCACCTGGGTGGCCATTGTACTCGGCCTTCCTCGGCGCGGAGGGACGGCCCAGCCGGCAGCGCCCAGTCCTCCTCCGACTACTTTTCTTTGTTGCTGGAGTTTCGGGGGAGGGGTGGGGGAGAGGGGCAAAAGTTGGGCGCGGGGGCAGTCAAAGCCCGCGGAGGCCCCGGAGGAGGGCTGAAGAGCGCGCTCAGGCCGCTGGGCCTCGTCCTGCCGTCCCAGCCGCCGTCGCCCCCGGGGTCCGGGGCCCCGGGCCTTGGCGGCGCTTGGTCTGCTGTAGCTCCGCGAGCTCGCAGGAGCTGCACATTCCAGCACAGGAAGCTGCGCCCGATAACATTTTTATACACTAACAATAAACTATCTGAGTGAGGAACTAAAAAAAAAAATCCCATTTACAACACCATCAAAAAAGAGAATACATAAGAATAAATTTAACAAAGGAGGCAAAAAATGTATATACTGAAAACTATAAACATTATGAAATAAATTTTAAGTGACAAAATACATAAAAGACATCCTATGTGCATGGATTGAAAGAATATTGTTAAAATATCCATTCTATCCAAAGTATCCATAAATTCTATGTAATCTCTATCAAAATTCTAGTGTCTAAGAAGATGTCCTTTTTCACAAAATAGGAAAAGGCTTAAAATTCGTATACTCATGTACAGAAAAATAAAATCAGACCCCTATTTCATATATTTACAAAAATCCACTCAAATGAATTAAAGACTTAAATTTAAGATCTGAAACTATGACAATAATTAGAAGAAAACAGGAAAAGCTTCATGATATTGATCTGGGCAATGATTTCCTGCACAGGAACCTAAAAGCACAGAGAAGTGAAAATGAACAAGTGGTATTGCATCAGCTAAAAGCTTTTATACAGCAAACAGTTAACAGAATGAAGAGACAATCCACACATTAGAAGGAATTACCACAAACCATACATCAGATAAGAGGCAAATATCCAAAATTTATAAAGACTAAAGCAAGAAAACAATACAATTAAAAAATGGGCAAAGAACCTGAGTAGCCACTTCTCAAAAGAGGACATATGAATGGCCAACAGATATATAAGGAAAAATAACTCAATCTCTAATTATCAGGGAAATCCAATTAAAACTACAATGAGAAATTCTTCACACTTATTAGAACAGCAATTATCAAAAATATGAAAGGTAAGCATTGGCATGGATGTAAAAATAAGGGAGTTCTGATATGTTTTGGTGAAATGTAAATAAGTACAGCCATTTTATGAGATAATATGGAGGTGCCTCAAAAATTAAAAATAGAATTATCACATAATCCAGCAATTCCATTTCAAGATATAAATCCAAAGGAATTGAAATTAGTATGTCAACAATATCTCCTCACTCCCATGTTCCTTTCAGCATTACTCACTGTAATAGAAAAGATAGATAATGAACAAAGTGGCTCTTCAACAGATGAAGGAAATATGACACATGTATACAATGGAACACTCTGTAGTCTTTAAAAAGAGGAAATTCTGTCATTTGTAACATCATAGATGAACCTGAAGATTATGTTAAATGAAATAAACCAAGTCTAAAAGGACAAAAACTGCATAATCTCACTTATATGTAGAATCTTTTAAAAACTTAAATGAAGGCCAGGGATTTAGCTCAGTGGTTCTGCCACCTGCCTTGCAAGCGCAAGGTCCTGAGTTCGATCCCCGGTACCAAAAAAAACCAAACCCTTAAATGCATAGAAGCAAAAATAGAAGAATAGAATAGAAAAAAAAAAAAGAATAGAATAGAATGGTGGTTACCAGAGGCTAGGGAGCAGGGGATGTTGAAAAAATGTTACAAAGTTTCATTTAGGCAGAAGAAATTAGGTTTTAGAGGTCTACTGCATTATAAGGCCCTGAAGATTTATAGGGTTTGCCAACTCCAAATTTAGAGATGGATACTACTTTAGAATGTAGGGAGGATTTAAGTAACACAACACCTAGGAAAAAGATAAAACTAGTTAGTTGTCAAATCCTAAGCCTCATAATGAATTCAATAAGTTATTACACGAAAAAATTACTCTTCTATAGTGTCAGGTATTCATTTTGGCTTGTTTATATTATAATTAGTGCTCTTAGGATTACATACAAATTCAGAAATTACTGGGAATTTTATAATACTTGTCTATAAAGAACATTTTGCAATATTAAACCAATTACTCTTAAATCTATAATAGTGCAGATACAACACACATGAAATGTAATTCTGACTCTTCATGTTGGCAACTAGATAGACACTGAATGCTTTGTAATTTTTATAAAAATATTTGATAAGTTTTAAAAAATAATTACAATTTAAATATTTAAGATTTATTTAAATAATCTAGAATTTTGATAGTTCAATTGTAATTTGTGTTTTGCTTTAATTTTAGTAAATAATTTTCACAGAAGAAATAAACTTTCAAAATACTTATATGAACCTAATTCAAAATTTTTCATATCATCTAAAATTTTGGTGAAAATATATTCAAATTTTGCATGTATGAACATGTATCACATTTGAACACTTCATTTTTTAACACTTTAGGTCTTTGAGAAGGTATAACAGTAAAGATGATGCTAATAAAAAGCAGAATAGGTAGGCGTGCCTCGGCTCCCAGCGTGGAGAAGGATTCTGGGTAGGTGTGCCACAGCTCCCAGCACAGAGGAGGCTTCTGGGTCGCTGTACCATGGCTCCCAGACCAAAGGAGGCTCCCAGGTAGTCATCCTGTGGCTTCCGGTGAGGAAGAGGCTTCCGGGTAGGCATCCACAACTCCCAGCACAGAGGAGGTGAGCTGCATGGGTGCCAGCAGCACCCCCACCCCGTCAAAATGAGAAGACACATAAACAAGCCTCAGAACCAACTTCCAAATCACCTACAGCAACCCCAAAGGGAAAGGAGAAGAAACAATCTGATACTCAACCACCTGGACTCCCTGAACTGGCAATGAAAGAGGATCTGGAAAAAATGAAATCAGAAATAATTTCTCATATAACAGCAGAGATTGTGCCCATAGTACAAGACATGATTAATAAATCTAGAGATGACACAGATAAAAAAATTGAGGAGCTGAGGAACATGACAGAATCTCAACATAGGAAACAAATGGAATCCATAAAACAGATGCAAACAGATTTCCAGGAGATTAAAAACTC